GAAAAAATGATTCAATGCAAAGATGGACAAGAGAAAGAGACGCTGAACTCAACTTACACAGCACTGGACAAAGAAGTGAAGAAGAGTGCCAGGAAGGACAAAAGACAATTCTACGACAACCTGGCTACTGAAGCTGAGAAGGCAGCAGGCAAAAGGGACCTGAGGACACTATATCAGATAACCAAGTCTCTATCCGGGAAGAGATCAACACAAGTGAAACCTATAAAAGACAGCCAAGGGAACCCAATTACCAAAGAAGAAAGACAGATTAAACAATGGGCGGACCACTTCAAAGGACTCTTGAATCGACCACCACCTACAACCCGTCCAGTAATACCAACAACAGCACGTACACAACTGCAAGTTGACACCAATCCTCCAACGAAAACTGAAGTCATGAATGCAATCAAGCTTCTGAAAGCTGGACCAGATGGAATACCCCCGGAAGCACTGAAAGCGGACCCAGAAACGACGGCAGATATGCTGACTCCATTATTGCAAAAGATCTGGAAAGAGGGAAAGGTGCCTACTGACTGGAGGAAAGGTTACCTGGTGAAACTACCAAAGAAGGGCGACCTGGGACTCTGCAAGAACTGGCGAGGAATCATGCTCCTGTCGACGCCAAGTAAAATCCTGAGTCGCATCATCCTGGAGAGAATAAAGGACGCACTGGATACAGAACTCCGACCAGAACAAGCTGGATTCAGGAAAGGCAAATCATGTTCTGACCAAATTGCAACTCTACGCATTATCATCGAACAAAGCATGGAATGGCAATCAAATCTCTACCTCAACTTCATAGACTTTGAGAAGGCCTTCGACAGCGTTGACCGCGAAGTAATTTGGAAACTACTCGAGTACTACGGCGTACCCCAAATATTCATCAACCTTATTCAACAGCTGTACGACAACGGCACATGTCAAGTGATCCACAACGGAAAACTCAGCGAGGCGTTTGGAGTAAACACAGGAGTCAGACAAGGGTGCTTATTATCACCAATGATATTCCTAATTGTGGTGGACTGGATTATGCGTCAGACAGTGGGAAACGAGAAGACAGGGATATCCTGGACCGACGTGAAGAACCTAGAAGACCTGGATTTTGCGGATGATTTATGTTTGATGTCACACAAAATCGAAGACTTACAAGCAAAAACCGACAAACTGGTCGAAGAGGCTGGCAGCAAAGACAGAACTCCAGGTGAACATAGACAAGACGGAGGTTATGAAAATAACCAACCAACAACAGCAGCAGCAACATCCAGTGCCAATCACCATCAACGGGAGGGATTTGAAAGAGGTTACTTCTTTCACTTATCTAGGGAGCATTGTCTCAACCACAGGAGGAACGGACGAGGATGTCAAATCGAGAATCGGGAAGGCGAGAAACACATTCATCAACCTGAAACCAATCTGGAAATCTTCGTCACTCACCATCAACAACAAAATTCGGATTTTCAATACAAACGTGAAGTCAATTTTGCTTTACGGATCAGAAACTTGGCGAGTCACCAAGAATATTTTCAACAGGTTGCAGACCTTTATCAACAACTGTCTTCGCTCCATACTGAAGATTAGATGGCCAGAAAGAATCACAAACAAGAAGCTATGGGAACAAACGAAACAGGAACCAATCGCCCAACAAATATGCAGGAGGAAGTGGAGATGGATTGGACACTCGCTGAGGAGGCCGTTGAGTGACATCGCGCGTCAAGCCCTCGAGTGGAACCCGAAAGGGAAGCGGCGAGTGGGACGTCCAAGGGTGACATGGAGGAGATCGTGTGAGGAGGAGATGAAACAGTATGGAATAACATGGACGCAAGTGAAAAGTACAGCACAAGACAGAAGCGAGTGGAGACGTGCAGTTGAAGCCCTATGTTCCACTAGGAACCCAAGGGAACAATAATAATAATAATAACATCCAACATTTGATGTAGCATTATATCTACAGAGTCTCTACGCTCATGAATTTATGCATAAATATGCAGATTACTGTGTAAAATGGTGAATGATTGCCCCAGTGTCTTTGGGTTTGATTCCTGGTGTAAAGGGTATTTAGTTCAAGAATATCCACTCTTAGGGTTCCCCGTTTATCTTGTTTTCACAACTGAAAAAGTGCAAGATTTTTCGAAACTAACATGTAGTAATAAAATATTTTATTTAGATCTGTGCTGAGTAATAAAATTATCTGTTTTTCATTCAGGATTAGGATTTTAGTGTTTTGTCATCCACAGTTTGTTTGTCAGAGGTTTTGTAAAACCCAAGGGGAAATTTATACTTTATGCTAAATTAATTCCTCTTTCGTTCAAAGCATTGGTTATGGAAGCATTAAAATGTTCGGTTTTATCTTACATAATGCAATAAAGGGAAACGTATTCGTGGAAGATAGAAACTTCTACGAACATCCATAATACGAGAATGCCACTACTCATCTTACAGTGTGAGTTACCTAAAAGTGCTTGAGTATGAAGTCACTTAGCACAACGCTTACAATGAAAATGTTTAACAAAGAAGTACGTGTGAAAGAGTGGATGGTGACTAGCAGTAGAATCCAAGATAACGGACATTTCGTCCTATGTAGGGCTCGTACCTGCATTCCCACTAGAGCTCGATCCCAGTAACCATAGTTTCAAAAGCTAAAGCGTGATCCACTAGACCATTTAAATTAGTTATCTGACTGAGAAGCATGGTTCGAACCACAGGTCACTGGAACGGATGAATATGTGAAAAGTGGCCAGAACTGGAGAGGCATGATACACCTTCATCACTCCGAAATCGGTTTGGAAATCTTCTGCACTCTGCCTCAGAGTGAAGAACGTGATTTGGATTTTCAGCCCAAATGTTAAGTCAGTCAGTGCTTCTATGCGGGTGAGAATCTTGAAGCTCACGTTACGATTAGCATTTCCAACAGAATACGTTTGAATTTCAAGAACAGCTGCCAACTTTACTGGTTCCATAATGAAGATTAAATCGTCTCCTAGAAATAGTTAACAACAAGAAACTCAGCAGTAGAGCAAATTAACCAATAACGTGGGAGAGAATGGAGATGGATTGGGTAAACACTGAGGAGACCGTCAACTAATATCGAGTGCCAGGCCATTACTCGAGTGGAAGGAGAAGGGGGAAGGACAAGTTTGGCGTGAATCTGACAATGACATGGAGGAGATTGTGCTTGAAGGAGGATATGAGAAATTGTGGACGATTTTGGGCCCAGCCCAGGAGGAGACGAGAAAACAAGATAAAGTGGAGACGTTTTGGTGTTGAAGTCCCATGTTCCACTTGGAACCCTAGGAATGCAATAATAATGTTTTTTTTTGACCTACTTCACGTTTACACGACTTAATAGCTGTGCCAGGAATAGTTCATTAGGAAACATATACTTACTTTACTTCGGCTATCTCCTACGGGAGGATGAGCCGGCTTCATGAACATCTCGAATCGTTTGTAAGAGAGTTCATGAAGTTTCATTGGAATTTGGTACGAGTGATTTCCCCAGAATCGCTCGGCCTTTTGTTTGAGAGTGCAGCTCTAGCCTTTACACAACCAAGTGTGACCTACAAGGCAGTAGGAGTGGAGTAGGGAGTCCACTATCCATTGGCAGCCGGTGACCGGAGTTCGGTTCATACGCCTTTTTGAATGGGGCCAGACATCCAGGACATCCAACAAGCCCTTTGTCCATACGTCTGCCGGTGAGCTTCAGTGAGCTTCATACGCCAGTCGTTGGAGGTTTGGAATCAGGGTTTAGCCATCTCCCCTAGACTGTCATCCAATGGACAGTCAACCCGGTGAAGAGCGCCGAGCATCCGCTTTCGCCCTCTCACTTTGGTGAAAAACACCTCCGCCACGTGAAGGCAGTGAGTAGGACTTCTTCAGGAGAGGCTATGTAAGACGCTTGGTCATATGGGAGCATTTCAAGAGGTGTGCGGAGGGGTGGCCAACCCGCAGCGCAAGGCACCCACCCCCAACCATCCTGAGGATTTGGAGGAAACATATCTCACCACAGTACTGGGTGACACGCAATTGAATCTTCATCAAGACATCAGTTTTCATCAAGTTTCTAATAAGTTCCAATAAATAAGAAAACTCAGTGCAGCATTCCCTGGAGAGAGAGATAGAAGACGTCTAACCCTCTCTCTCCTAAATCGACCACCACCTACAACGCGCCCAGCAATACCAACAACGGAGACAGAGCTACAGTAAAAAAGTGGCTGAACACATAACACAAAAAACTTGGAGGATCTGGACTCGCCGATGATGAAGTGTGTCTGATTTCCCACAAACTGGAAGACATCAAGCGAAAAGCAACAAGTTGGCAGAAGAAGCATCAAAGCTAGGACTTCAGGTGAACATAGATAAAACAGAGGTGATGAAAATTCCTGGGCAACACCAACAACAGCAACAACAACAACAACAGACAACAGTCAGCATAAATGGGAGGAACCTGAAAGAAACAACCTCTTTTACCACCTGGGAAGCATCGTTCAACTACACGACAGAACTGAGAGGATATCAAGCAAGTAAAATCAATGTGAAGTCAGTGCTACTACTTAGGATCAGAGACTTGCACTGCGCGTCATAAAGAGCATCTCAAACAAACTACAGACCTTCATTAACAGCTGTCTTCGCTCAATACTCAAGATCAGATGGCCAGCCGGCCAGAAGCGATCAGCAACAGAGATCTCTGGCAATGGGCAAACCAACCCATCAGGAACCGATTGTGAAAAATAGCAGAAGAAATGGAGATGGATTGGCTGGCCATACTCTTAGAAAACAAACCATCAAGTGACATCACTAGACAAGCCTTCTCGAGTGGAACCCGAAAGGGAAGCGGCGAGTTGGTCGTCAGTGCGAAGGTGAGGTGACTTGGAGGAGGTATGTGAAGAGGAGATGAATGTGGCAACAGTAAAACCTAGTTCCTCTAGGAATTAAAGGATACGATAATAATAATAATCTCTCTCTCTAACCTACAGTACCATCTACACGAAACAAAAAAGACGCAATTCATCGAAAATAATTTTTTCACTTCCAGGACTAAAACAAACTTGCTTTTTCTTTTGTTTAATTGCAAAGGGGAAAGCGTTAATAAAATTGAAATTAAACTGGCAAAATTATAAGCAACAACTGAGTAGCGAATATATAATAGTATGTATATATATGTAGGTGATTGCATACAGATAGGAAGACTCATCTGTGTGAATTCGATGTTTTAGGGTAATGAACTTCAGTAGGTGAATATGAGCAATGATACGCGCTTGCTTATATCGTAGGGTAGGCACTTTTTTTATGTATCTGAACTAATACATATGAATATATAACAACTAAAACAACAACAACAAAAAAGAAAGAAGAGAATGATAGTTAAAACGAAAATGAGAGAAAAAGTTATTTCGAAATTGATGGAAAATATGCCATTGAATAATTTCAATTTTTTTGTTTATTTGATTCAATCAAAATATGTATGTATTCGTTCGTTCGTTCATTGGTTCGTTTGTAAAGGAGGGAATTATGAATCACGGGAGACATTTTCAAAATAAGAGAATGAATTGAAAAGGTTGTAATGCATTCTCGTGCTTTCTCTAACTGTAAAAGTTCCCCTTCACATTCACTCCTTAACTTTTTGACAGAAAAATACGGCTGGGGGGTGTGGGGAAGTTGGAAGGAATAAAACATTCGGGTAGAAAATCAAAAGAGTCTATAGAAAAGAAACAACATAAGAATAATGTGTTAAGCAGTTGTGAATTTTGTTTTGTGGTTGTTGTTTTTTTTTGCTATGTGATAAATAAAACTGCATAGTAATAAATCAATTTCTACGAAAATCTTCTCCGTTGTTTCCTCTTTTTTTCCAGTCTATGATGACGCAGACACCGACACTCACATACTAAGTATACATATTTATATATATGTAATGTTATTTTAAATCCCGCGCGGAAGGTATTATTTTCGATAAGTTAGATTAAATAAACAAAATGGGCTAGTTCACATGCAATATTTCAATTTGTTCAATAGTGTTGTGTGTTTTAAAAAAAATGAATAACGTGCATTCTAGGTACTGGTTAGATGGTTTTTGATTTGTTTAAATGTTTGCATGATTCACTAGGCTTTGATTGTCTAGTTCGTATAATATTTATTAATAAAGGAAGAGGAGATTTATACCACTAGTAAAATAAAGCCAAGCAATGTAAGGGAATAAATTTTTTTTTTGGTGTTTTGTTTTGTTTAAATTTCTCTGAAAGGTTTATTCAAATGAAACAGTTTTGCTAAGCAGAAATATTCTAAATGATTAGTAATGAGCAACAGGCAACTGACTTAACAGACAGACAAATAGGTAGATAGATAGATGGATGGATAGATTCATACGATAGCTGTTATTCCTTATGAGATGGGGGTTTTTTAAAGGCTTTCCTCATAAGTTGAATTATAGTTGGATAGTGAACTCTGCACTGACTGCATCAGAGCTGGCCATTTCAGTTGGAGATGGATAAGATGTATTCATCATCTAAGAGAATAAAAAGAGTAATGAATGAATTAGTATTATTAGTTGGATATTATTATTATATATACATCAGCAATCATAATACCTCAATACCTGATGGAGTTATAAGCTTTTTTTGGAAGAATTAATTATATTGCATGGAGGATTTCATCATGAGCTGACATTAGTTAGAGAACCACTGGAAAACCTGGGAGTACTGGACAGCTGTTTCGTCCTAGTTTAGGACTCTTCAGCAGAACGCACCCACCGGGATTCGAACCCAGGACCTTCTGGTTACAAGGCGAGCTCGTACTGATGAAGAGTCCCGAACTAGGACGAAACAGCTGTCCAGTACTCCCAGGTTTTCCAGTGGTTCTCTAACTAATGTCAGCTCATGATGAAATCCTTCATGCAATCAAACAAAATCCCTACAAAACCAATACTTGAAAATTAATTATATGTCAAAAGTTAAAAATATTCAGGATAGCTAAGAATACAAAGATGGGTGATGTTATAAGTTAAGAGAAGCTATGAAGTAACCTGTAATCATAATAATAATAATAATAATGAGGCAAATCAACTTATAAAATAGGCGCAGATTTAGAAGAAGTGTATAAGAAAACTGAAAGGTAATAGAAATATAAGAAGTAATTCATCTATTTCAAGGAATTTTCCTTTTTTTTTGTCGACTACCCTATGGTAGCCAAGGAAGCAAAAATTTCAATTCTCTATGCTGTAGCTGCATTAAGAATCAAGTGAGGGATGCTGACGCAGTCATCCAACTGCCTCATGTAACATCTTCACTATTTGTCTTAGAAGTTGTGAGTACAAAAAGAACTTTCTTCATTGAACAAAATTCGGAGTCATAACAGTTTTTGAAGTATCCTAATTATGCATTTCCAGATGCAAAACAACATCCTATTTTAATGTTAATAATTCTATTAATGGTTAATAGGAATTTGATTTGATTGGTTACAGTATTTCATCAAGGGAAAAACTGAAGAACAACAGGGAGTAATGGACAGCTGTTTCGCCACCCTAGTTTGTCACTCCTCAGTAGTACACACCAACCACCAGGGTGGAAACTCAGGGTTTCCTGTTACAAGATGGGCTCGTAAACCATTCATCAGCCACTGGGATTCGTCCCAATGGCCTATAAGTTCTAACTCTCGCCGACTCACGATATAGTGAGAAGTCAGAAGTCGTGACTGGTGGGGTACAGCTGGTCGGGATTATGCTCGCCAGGAGTTGGAATTCATGGGACACTGAAATTGGTCTCACTAGCTTTTTTGGTCTGCCAGCTAACCTTTTAACCAGAGGGCCTTGATTCGAACTCCGGTGTGTGCGTATTGCTGAAGAGTCAGTCCCAATTCAGCCTGACGAAGCAGCTGTCCAGTACACCTAGGCGGTTTCCCAATGGTTCTCTAAACGATGTCAGTTCACGATGGAACCCTTTAACCAGTCAAATCAAACGCCTGCAATCTAACACCTGAATAAAAAAATTTCTTATGGATGGCTATTTCTCCCATCTTTCTTCCTTACATGAACGTCTTAAATGCTTGTATTTCATATCAAACCGTTCGTTAAAAATGAGTTTATGAAATTTTTGGTTAATAGTTCATCCTAAAATTGTATAGACAAGTGACATCAGATTGTAAAGCCAATAAAAGCATTTATTTTCATACTTCTGAAATTTCGTAAATTAAAGTGCGTTTGACTATAGAAAGAGTAATGATAGAGATCTTGATAGTCCGCTTAGGGCATTAAATGTACAGTTAAAACAAGCACTTTTCCACAACTTGATTATTATTTGCTTTAGTTCCTAGAGGAAAATAAGGCTTCAGCTGCACGTCTCCTTTGCGTTCGCTTCTCTGCCAACCTTTTCACCTGGTTCCACGTCTGCCCACATGCTTTCATCTCCTCTTCACATCACCTTCTTCTCCTCCATGTCAACCTACCCTCGCACTGACGACCAACTGATTCGCCAATTCCCATTCGCCTCCCACTTGAGTGGTGGCCTGCATTGCGGGTGACGTCACTCACTTGGTTATAGTTTGTTTTCTCAGAGTACGGCCATCCAATCCACGTCCATCTCTTCCTGCATATTTGCTTCACAATCGATTCCTGCCTGGTTGGTTCTCTCCCAGAGATCCCCCACTATTGCTGATCTTTTCTGGCCGGCCATCTGATCTTGAGTAGTATTGAGCGAAGACAGCGGTTGATGAATGTGTGTAGTTTGTTCGAAGTGGCCTTCGTGACGCGGTGTCAAGTCTTTGATCCGTATAGTCACTAGCACTGACTTCACATTGGAGTTGAAGATCCGGATCTTATTTTTCACACAGGCTTGAGAGAAATGAAAGCTTGCCTTGCCTTCCCGATCATCCTCGCTCTGATATCCTCATCAGTTCTGTCTGCCTGTAGTTGAAACGATGCTTCCAAGGTGGGTAGTTATGTAGTTAGGTGGAGGAGGTTGTTTCTTTCAGATTCCTCTCATTTACGCTGGCTGATTGTTGTCTGTTTTTGTTGCTGTTGGCCATGAATCTTCATCACCTCTGTCTTCTTCATCTTCACCTGAAGGAAGTCCTATCTTTGATACTCCTTCTTCTGCCTTATTGTTGCTTTTCACTTACATATCTTCCAGTTTGTGGGAAATCAGATATATATCATTGGCGAAATGCAGATCCTCAAAGTTTTTAGTATAGGTCCATTTTATGCCTGTTTCCCCGTTGCCCACCACTGTCTGTCGCATTATCCAGTCTACTTCAATCAGGAAAATCATTGGTGATCGTAGGCAGCCAGCGTGTCCTACTGCCGTCTTCACTTCGAAGGATTCTGTGAGCTTCCTGTTGTGGATTACTTGGCCTGCAGCATTACAGCACAGCTGCTGGATGAGGTGTATTATTGTTGGCGGAACACTGTGGTAGCGAAGTAGTTTTCAAATCACCTGTCGATCGACGCTGTCGAAGCCCATTTCAAAATCAATGAAGCCAAGGTAGGGAACTGACTGCGATTCCAAACTCTGTTCAATGATGATCCATAGTGTTGCGATTTGATCGATGCATGACTTGTTTTTCCTGAATCCAACTTGTTCTAGTCGAAGTTTTCATCCAGGGCGTGTTTGATTCTCTCCAAGATGATATGGCTTAGTATTTTGCTTGGGATGGATAGGAGCATAATGTCCCGCAAGGTTTTGGATTGACTTCAGTCTACTTTCTTCGGCAGTTTGAGTAGGTTGCCTTTCCTCCAATCAGAGGGTATTTTTCCCTTTTTACCCGCCTTTTTCAGTAGTGGTATCATCTAGTTCACTGATGTCTCTGGGTCCATTTTCAATGCTTCTGTGAGAATTCCGTCTGGTCCAGCTGATTTTCCAGTTTTTAGAATTTTTATGGACTTCCGCATTTCTGCTTTCGTCGAAGGTTTGGTATTCACTAGTAGTTCTGATTCTGCTGTTGGTATTGTTGGACGCGTTGTGGGTGGCGGACGATTAAGAAGTCTGCTGAAGTGTTCAGCCCATTGCTTCCTTTGCTCCATCTCTTTGGTGACTGACTTTCCATTGTTAACCTTCACTGGCTTAATTTGTTTTGATCTCTTCCCCAATAAGAACCTAGTTGTTTGGTAGAGTGTTGCGAGATCTCTTTTGCCTGTGTAACAGCAGAAGGCAAAACACAGAAACCAGAGTATATTTCCAAGTCATCAAACCACTATTTATACATATACAGTTTATATTCCTCAACCAATCACTGAGCGTGTGATTTCAGTTTAAATTTGACAACGTGAAATAGAATGTTCAAATAGATATATCGTATTGTGTTGATAATGCCGAGTTGAACTGTGGGAATATGTGAGAATAATAATCCGTTGGAACATACTGTCTATTTCTCTCCACCACACCTAGAGCTTGTTCTGTTCCACTTGCCATACCCTCGTAATCCTGTCTTTTGTCTTCCCTGGCACTTCTCTTTTCTCCTTTGTTCGGTGGATTGTAGCTTGCATTCAGCTCCTGTTTTTGTTGCTCGTCGATGCACTGGATAATACTTTGTTTCACCAACCTTCTCTCTCCTAGTAATCTCCATGTATCTGTAGTGAGCCACTATTTGTCCTGTCTTTTCTTTCCGCCTAGAACTTCCATGCAGGTTCGACTTCACACCGCTTTCAGGTTGTTCCAGTAATATTAAACTCTGAACTCTTCGTTGTTTTGTGTAAGGCGCTATATAAAATTAAAAGGACATATTTAGAAAACTAAAAACGTTTAGAACAAAAAAAAGAGAAGGGAGATCAGTATACTGATAGAGAATATAAAGATAGTAGATTATCTTACTAGAAGGGAATTTATTAATGTTTTTGTTAACGATAGTAATAAAATGCTTTGTCCTCAGGAAAGAGCTATATAGGTAAAGACTTGAAATCTTTACAAATCATTTCATTACATGACTCCATTATGGGTAAATTTTATTTTGATAAAGTCTCACAGTGTTATACAGTAATATTTACTGATGACGTTTCGAGCACAATTTATTGCTCATAATCATATCAAGGTAATCACACGACTTCCTAAATTCATTTATATAGTTTCATTGTTTTTCACTTGATTTTCACTTGATTTGATTGGTAGTAATATTTTCCATATTTCGGGTATGAGTGATGAATCATTCCTATTGCATGTGTTGGGTGTAGATTCGATGAACAAGGATTCAGTAATCAACCTCTCTCTCCACCTACCTAGATGACTTTTTAGAATTTTAACCCTCTCCCACCCTATTGTGTAGTTGTGTGTTAATGCATGCATTGCAATTGCTGAGCTTCTTTCTAAATTACTTATCTTCTCTAGGTCAACCATTCTTACCTTAGCTAAATTCTTATGTTCTGACAATCTGACTACCCCTGACCTACTAGTTTGACCTATGTAGTTGACCACACAGTCATTGCAGGGCATTCTGTGGACCCAGTGGACCCAATTAGACAAAATTATATAATTTTTGATTGCACACTAGTCAGTAACTGATGTAATGTGTCTAGTCCTATCT